GATTGAAGAGGTAGAATTTTTAATTTCTTAAATAATTCTCTACATGAATCTCTACTTCTACATCCTGTAATGATTCTAATTATATTCTTTTGTATTTTAAAAATTATTACACTATGTGAAGAGTTCCCCCAAAATATTAATCCATAGTTCATAATAGAATGAAAGTAGGCATGGTAAACCATCTGCAGTGTTTCCTGTGACATAAAAGGGTTAATGAAGAAGAGCTACAGGTGGCTCTGCAAATTGTGAACTTAACTCACAGAGCATATATTGGAGTAAAGAATGTTCTAAGCAAAAATTGTAGATGAGGAGGAAGCGCATATCTTATTTTTCCATAAATCTTAAAGTTTTCAAGGTAACGAAACAAAAGGGAGTGAACATCGCAGAATTATGATGCTGTGCAGATTTCTGAACTTCTGTAGTCAGCAGTCAGCAGTCAGCAGTGGTCTCTGAAGCCACACAAATATTGTCGGACTCTCATACTGCCCCAATAATATTTACACTAATCTTCCTATACCTGAATTTATACATCTATATTGTCACATGTATGGGTGACTGTAGACGAGGTTTTGATTGGTAAATGGATTTATTGACCACTTACAGATCATGTATGTATGTATGTATGTATTATGGGAGGGGGTGGGTTTCCCCATGCACTTAGACCAGTTATCGGTCCATTGTGTGTCCCCCTTTTAATTTCTACTGTCGCCATACCCTACCAGTAACGGTGCGTGCCATCAGCCCCCGTAGAACCAACGAGGTCGGCACTCAGTACCTTGATGCTTCCCCCATCCACCAGAGGCATTGGAGACTACTTGGGCAAGAAAGGGCCTGTAATTTAGCTCAGAGGTCTCCTAGAGACATGAGGTTCTTTTACGTGCCATAAATCTATGACACGTGACACACGGCTTAAAGTCCCTCCCAGAGGACTTGTTCCCTGAATTTTTTTGCCCTTAAAAATTCCACGACCTCCACCAGGTTTGAACCCGCGTGGTGGGAAAGTTACCCCTAGACTATGGAGGCCACTTACAGATCATAACTACAGGTAACTATGGGACTATGGCTGCACAATAGCTCAAGTGGTTAGTCGCTGGCTTCCCACTGTGGCGGCCCGGGTTCGATCCCGGGTCTGGTCAAGTGGGATTTGTGGTGGAGAAAGTGGCGCTGGGACAGGTTTTCTCCGAGTACTCCGGTTTCCCCTGCCAATCTTCATTCCACCAATTGCTCCACAATCACCCTCACCTATTATCTGGGGCTGGTACAATAGGCCAGAAGTGGCCACAGTACAACAGACTTAGTCCCACCCTGCTAGCAATAAAAAAAAAACTATAGGAGTATCACTAATTCACACACTACAGTTCACTACAGCACGCAGTAAGTCTTTTCTGTCTGTTGTGTCTTCACCAGTTATCATATGGTAATGGCTTCCAACCGTAGACGTTCCCTGTACTCTGGGTTCCAGAACTATCCCCCTGCCTCAGCTACCAGCTTCTAACAGCATCAGCTCACATTGACCAAATGCAGCAGTCCTCTAACTGACTGCTTAACAACCAACTCATTTCACTCCACTGTACTCAATGGCATTGCACTCACTGACAGAACTGAACTCAGTCGGACAAGTCATGTAGCCTCAGAGTGAATCCACAGAGAACACTGCTTGCAACATCTCTTCAGTTGCATGACATCATCGTGGACATGATGTGTTCCTCTCTTGCGTGTGTACAGGCCATTACCTAGCAATGGATCTACATGCTACAATATTAATACATATACATGTAATTAAAATATAATTGTATGTGCTGTTACAACTTCTACTCTGTTAACATTTAAACTTTGTGTCTTTTGAAATAATTAAACAGAGCACATTGTCATGCCAGAATTATTATGTTATGCATACAATTCTGAACCTGCTTTGTGCTTGTAATAACATTTTGAATAATCTACAAGACCAACAATGAAACACAGTTACTGCACTTTACAGTATTCATAAGATTTCTGAAAAACATAACCTCAGAGTGTGCTTGCAATATAATGGATGTCTTCTTGAGCAAGTCCTGTATCATTCTGCAGTGCAGAAATGGTTTAATCAGCTGGTTTAAATTTCTGGATACTCTTTATTGGACCTTAATGCAGAGATGAAGTATTGTCATAGAAATTGTAAATAGTCATCTTGATTTATATTAAAATATTTGATGTTAGAGATCAGGTCATTGCATGACAGCAGCTTGTCATTAACAGAAATAAATGTAGGCATCCATCACATGGATACACGGATCATTTTGGGGATCTTGTGGCATACTGATAGGACATCTCCATTAACTAACTCGAGGTGATATCTGTTTTTGTACATGTGCCTTTGCTTTCATATAAAATAAATATTCTTATGACTTCTGGTATGGTCTTCTTAAGTATTAAGTATGTAGAGTGGTGTTTCAGAACTTGCGGAGTGGTACGACTGCTGTGTGTGCATTGCTCAGACCCACAGAACAGATGCTGTATGTGGCATGGCTTGGTGACTCACAGGCCCTTTTGGTTCGCAATGGTCGAGGCGTGCAGATTGTGAAACCCCATAAACCAGATAGAGAGGTATGGAACATCATGTATGTGTCAGGATTTCATTGTAGTTTGAAAATTTGTATCTAATTTTTGAACGAGCGGTTTTGCATTAGTGTGACAGTTGGTCAGTTATTTTAAAACTGCAGCAGCTGTTGAAATTTTTCATTGTGTCTGTAACAACGTGGAACATCTTTGAGGAATTTGAAGAACATATAGGCTCAGTGTGTTGCAGTGTATAATTTGTATGAAACTCATCAGCATCATCAGATCTCACAAATTGCAGTTATGATAATATAAGGTTTCTCCAGAAAGAAGGTCAAGTTATAATTACATATACGTAGCTGATTCCAAAAGTAAGGTCTCCAAAGCGCTGGGTAATTTTTTGTGCGGCTGTTGGCAACCCTGTTGCATTCGTTGCTTCCCCCACTCCCCCCAATACCACCAAGCATGCGCGCACGTAGCTAGGACGCTCAGTCTTGGCACGGTTGCCGTTAGAAATGGAGCTCCCGATTACTAAAACTGCGAAGTGTGAGATTCGCGCAGTTNTTCGAAGTTTCCTGAACTGGTATGACATGGACATACAAAAACTGCCACTGCGCCTACAAAAATGCATCGACCGAAATGGCGATTATGTAGAGAAATGAGTACATGTTCAAGATTCAACTGATGTATCCAAAATTGAAAATAAATATTTATTTTATATTTTCAAACATAGGAGACCTTACTTTTGGAATTACCCTCGTAATTACCTAATTACCTAACTACAGAGAGCCAGGAGAGCACAGTCAGTATAGTGACTGGCTATGGGCTGGACGGCCGAGGGGTCGGACTTTGAACAGTAGAAGGGGTAAGTTTTTCTCCTCTCCACATTGTCCAGGCCGGTTCTGGGTCCCACCCAACCTCCTGTCCAGCGCGTAATGAGGGTTCTGTCCCAAGGGGTAAAGCAGCCAAGGCATGAAGCTGACCACTCACTTCCAGTTAGTGCTGAGGCCAAGAATACATGGCTCTATGCATCCAGTCCCTCATACGCCTTCATGGCATGGTTCTTGATTAGTTGAGCACGGGGACAACTTTACCTTTGCCTTTTAATTACCTAACTACATAGCAAATATCACTGTGTTTGGTATCACTGAGTTCAGTTATCTTGGGAGAATGTGCTGCCCCTGGTGGCAACATTGTGGACCAGCAATGATCTAAATGGCATACTCAGTAGCACATGTGTTTTTGGTGAATAGATTTTTACCACACTGGTAGTGTTGATTTAGCATGAATTCCAAGTGAATGCAGGAAGTAGGTCTCCATTAAATGGATTAGCTAGTGAGTTGGAAGTGACTGGGAACATGGTAAACTATAAGAAGGGTGTTGTACCAGAAAAGATTCATCATATTGAGCAGACATTGAATGCAGAGCCCCAGGAAATCTGTCTTTCTCAGCATCCTAACTTGGGAGCATGTTTATCCTGCAGATAATTAAAGAATATGTGAAGGTGCTTCAGCACAAAATTCAGATGGAGAAAATCCTTTGTGAGGCTGATCATGTTAGGAAAGTTGACATCTATGGTTACTTTAAGATATTCTTGGAGGACAATCCAGCAATACCCCAAAGTGTATGCTTTAGTGATGAGGTCCATTTTTATTTGAATGGCTGTGTGAAGAAGCAAAATATGTGTGCATATGCTGAACTCAGAGGCACCAAATAAAGTGGTGTTTGCTCTATAGTTGGATAAGTATGGTCAAATAAAACTGGAATGTCTTTTTAGTAAGATCCTGTATAAGGGATTTGCAGTTGAAGGTAACATCTTTACACAAAAAATGCAGCCATGGATACAAGATGCACACTTCACATTCATAATAGGTAGATTCCTACATAGAGATTCAACAACGTGCTTAACTATTTTCATACTTGTGGTTAGTTTACTATCCACAGATTTAAGCCATAATCAGGATGAGTGGTTGGTTTAATGACTGTGGAGTTCATGAATTAATGCGGATGAGTGGTTAGTATATTAATCACATGATATCACTAAAGAAGTCATGTGTGTTAAGCTCAGGTAGTTGTACAGTAGCTTCTGTCTGTGGAGAACTAAGAGCCATGCGGGATTTATGGAATATGAAGTGGCACTGGGATAGATTTCTTTGTAAGAACTTCAGTTTTCACCTGACAGTCATCTTTTTGTTGTTGCTCAATGCTCATATATCACTGGCTCTGAAATTGTGGGAAGACTGGTTTTCCACACAATGTCAGAACTTCAATGAACTGTTGGGGCTTTATCATGCATGACCTCACACTTGGCCAAATTTGGAATAAGGAATTTAATTTACATCCGTATTCTGCTTTCTAAATGAATAAGGATTAAAATATATCCAATAGCTGTCTTTCCGTTTGTTTTTTATTGTAGTGAAAATTTGTCTAGAGAGTAATTCTTAAATTACAACTGTTTGAAAATGATGTGCTCAGGAAAATATTCGGGCCTAAGAGAGATGATATTAAGTGGGCAGTTTGTGATTATACATACAGAGGATGATTTATACAGTCTATCTAGTATTGTTAAAATGGTGAACTATAGGCTTAACATGTGGCTTGGGTGGGGGAAAGACAGGACGAATAATTCATACAGATATTTGATGAGGGACACCTCTTTACTGGTGGTAAATTGTAAGACTGGGAACGAGGTGAGAGGATAACAGTAACCTTATTCTTAAGGAAGTGGGTTGTTAGTTTGGGAGGCAGATGGCATAGTCAGAATCATATTATTGAATCATTTAAGTCCTACTGTGACAGAGTTCTTCAGAGTTTCTGAGAAGTAGTGGTTCTGGAACGGGGTCCACTCAGCCTCATGAGGACAATTGAGGACCTATTTTAAGGAAATAGCAGCTCCATTCTAGAAAACTGAGATTAACGGCTATGGGGATCCATTGCACTTACCACGTGACACCCTCTATCCGCAAAAGTTGGCACTAACTTCACCAACAAGTGGCGGTTGCTTGGTCGGTATAGTTCGCTTGCGGACTACAGGCCACCTAATTTTTTTTTTGTGTGACGGAGTTACTTTGTTATTTTGCAAACAGACAATATAGCATTTGTGATGAACTTTTTAATTTATGGCCTTGCACAGATTACTTTGTATTAGTAATGTAATAACTCAGCTGTTATGTACCTGAAGTTTTGTCTTTTGTGCCCATCACATTATTCCTATGTATTAGAATCTGAAATTGAATTCTCATGACAGGATGAAAGGGAACGAATAGAAGACATGGGTGGCTGTGTCCTTTACTGGGGAACATGGAGAGTTAATGGAGAATTAGCTGTTTCCAGAGCAATTGGTAAGTACTTTTGTACAGTTTTCGTTTTTAAAATCTGTTCTTAACCATTTGCCTACCATTGAATAGACTGAACCAACAGGTTAGCCTCTGCTATGATTGAGACAGCTCAGTGTGACTAATGGTTGTAATTCATGTGTGTGTTAGGAGATTGCACAGCAGTTCAAAATTTTTATGTTTTAATACCTTTAGCTTCTTACCTTGAGTACAGAGGTTTCTCTTATAATAATTACTGAATGTTTTACACTCTTTGTGATGTAGTACTGGAAGACACATGTATAACATATAATAATAACAAATGAAGTAAAGTGTTTAAAAATGTTTGTGTGATAAGCTAAGACAGTTTTTTTTTGTTGTCTAACATGCAGGGTAAGAATTAGGAACATTGCAGTATAATATCTAATGAGGGTTCTAAGCTGTTGGCTGCTTCCTTTATATTAGTAGTTTCTGTTTAAAAGGGCATAAATTATTTTAAACTTTGTGGGTCATAAGTTTTTTTGTGGAAATGTTTACCAACATTTAGGAATTTCATTGTTTTGGAACAAACTGTGTGTGGGTAGGAAAACAGTAATGTTAGTTACATTCTAGGCACAGAATTTTCTTAGATGTAATCTTGTCATACCTGTTAACCTGGACAGTTGCATGAATACCCAGTCCTCTTGAATGTCCATCAAAATGAACAACTTTCTAAGCAAAAAGAATTAATAAGCATTGAAGTAATTGTATGAGATTTGAGATTATCGTAGTCATGAAGATTTATGTTGTAATCTTCAGGGTTATGAAACAGTGCTGTCTGATAAATGGTTACCAATGTTTTGGAACAGCATACACCCTGAAGATAAGAGCACTATAAAGGTAAAATTGTCCCTATGCTTAATTAATTAAGCATTATACCATGAAGACATTTGGGGGTTTAGAAGTATGTGGCCACCAATCTTGACTTAGGCATGAGATAGAGGTGAGTGGTCATCTTCATGCCTTAGCCACTTTACCCCTGGGAAAAGAGCCCCCCAGTACCCATTGGATAGGCTGGGTGGGCCACATAGCTGGTCTGGATCCTGTGGAGTAGAGAAACATCTCTTATGCCTTCCAGGAATTGAACCATGGCTGTCCAGCCAGTATCCCATCACTATACTGGTTGAGCTATCCAGGGTCCTTAATGCTATTGTAGCTCAGTAAAGTGAATCATCATAGTTTGATGGCTGGGTTCAGATCACCAGAAGCTGTAACACAAATGTTCTTTTCACACATCTACACTGGTTATTGCATCTCCTAGCAGCTGCCCCATTGCAGTTGCTTTCCTCCAGATCAGAGTGGTCAGAGCATGAGGCTAAGCAGTGTCCTCATAGCTCTGAAGTCTGAATGATCTCTAGGCCTTTGGTCTGCAGCAGGAAAGGAAACTCTGTGCGTAGATATATGCTTATCGCATTCTTTACTGTATGTACTGTATTTACCTGCAAAATGTTTGTAACTACCATCCAGACTACATGGTGTCATAAACCAGAAAGGTGAAATTTAAATTGAAGTACAGTAGCTGCTGTTTTGCCTCAGAATCACAGCATGAAAGCATACATGGGATGCTGAAATAAAGGAGTCATTACCGGGACACTGGTTGGAATTAGGGGTTGCAGCAGAAAGCCCATGATACCTCTGTGACAGGAATCTAGGAGGGACTAACACATGTGCCACAAATTAAAACCTAGTACCTACAAGGGTTTGTCATTCAGAAAACAAGTATTCCATGACCTTTAATTTTTTATCTTATATTGCTTATTTTTAAGGAAAGACAGGCTTATGATATGTCTCTATTTTTTTATCTCTTAATAACTATTGATCCAAGTGATGGATTTTCATGAAACATGTATGGACAGCAGGCTTTGGGAGGAATAGCCATAAGGAGGGAGCAATGTAGCTTGTATATCCACTGTTAGGTAACCACTGCAAAACCAGTAACTATACAGCAGCCATTGCTAAGTAACCGCTCCTCAAACAAGGATGTTTCCACAGCAGTGAGGGAACATCGTAATACTGGAAGAGTCATTTTCTTTGCGGTCCATGTCGAGATGGTATAACCAGGACCACTGAGCATTTGCAATTAGTAGTTAGAGAATTGCTGGAGTTCAGTCACTGTGAGCTGTTGGTGATAGAAGCTTTTAGCTGAGGTCGGGGACAGTTCAGGAACCCAGATGAAGGGGAACGTTTGCTTTTGGAAGCAGCTGCCAAACAACAGCAATGAAGACATGACTGTGGACACTTGTGATTGTGTAATAGTGAACAGTAAGAGTAGTCACAAGTTGTTTAAGAGTTCAGTAAATAGACTACCAATCCAAACCCTGTCTATAGTCACACTTATCATGTGACATTAATCTTGTTGTGGTTGGCTGCCTATATTCTTGCTGCATTTCATATCAGAAATCAGAGTGCAGTGCAGTTCAGTACATTTCCTTTCAAAGTAAACATGTTATTTGTAAAACAAATTGCAAATATGTCCTTATAAATTCGTATTTATCCTCCATTTTCTTAAAAGTATGAGTGACATATATATACTCCCAAATGTTTTCTTTGCTGTTTTAAAGTCAAATCACTTCCATTTAAATTCTTCCTCAGTTTATTATTCAAATCCACTGCTTTGCAAAGAAGAATTACATGCTTTTTCACTGCATATATTGTGCATTACTGGGGGGCATGTGGTAGCGTAGTTGGTTGAGGCACTATGCTATTTAGTACAAGCCGGAAGGTTGCGGGTTCAAGTCCTGATGAGGTCATTGGATTTTTTTCAGTTGACCTAATCCTTCCAGCCACACTATGGCCCTGGGGTCGACTCAGTCTCTAACAGAAATGAGTACCGGGAATTTTCGTGGGGGGTAAAGTGCGGTCAGCACGTAAGGCTGACAACCTTACCTCCACCTTTGAGCCGATTGTCTAGATAATGTGGGACCCTCAGCGTCTCACAACCCTATGGGCCTCCAAGGCCTGTTACAGGGATAGCTTTACCTTTTATTGTGCATTATTTATAGTTTCTTTTGCATGATTTTGAGACAATTAATGAAGTGACTTACTTGAAAAATAGAGTTTTTGTTGGATTGATATGGCCGAAAATTAATTGCATATGTTAATACCGTATTTAATCAGATTCACTTCCGGGAGAAACAGTTAGATGGACAGATGTATGCTTCCCACTGTGCTCTCATTGTATGCATTTTGTCCAAAGGAAACATAGTATTAATAGAAATTTATACTGTAATTTGATCAACAGGTCATTAAGGTGTAATGTATGACAGTAATTTGAAAAGCAAGTATTAGAAAGAAGTGTTGTTAGTATCATTGTTTCTTAACTGTGTGACTAGAAGGAAGTTGTAACCCAGAAATCTGAAGCTGTATAATGAACTAAAACTGCCGCCAAGAAGACAAGATAATCACGTTTTAGCCTTCATGCATGAAGTCATAAGTCATTGTGTAGTAGATCTGCCTTTGAAGCCCATTTGTATTGTGCTTCCTATGAAATGTTTTCAGGTGTACTGCATCTCCGGAATTCTTTTGCATTAGTAAGAAATTAAGAAATAATAACAGTTACAGTTATCACAAGTAACAGGTTTTGTACAAGCATAGGTGAAATGGGAAAGAATGACCAGCTTTAACTAACCTGTGCTCTGTCCATAGTCCTTTTGTACTTATTGCCTCACTCTGTTTCTCCACATAAGTCTTCGATCTCCTCAGCACCTTAATATCTGACACTTAAGAGGAGTCAGATTGATGTGTGTACCATTGTATCCTTAGTTTTATCAAATTTTCTTTTAGTGTGTCTGCTTTCAGATCTTGTTCAATGTCTTGGTTTTGGATTTTATATGTTTTTGTTACCTTCTTTATAATGCATAGNGTTCTGCCAGCGAGGTCGGCCCTCTCTGGCAGTGGTCCCCAATACTTCCCCATCTACCAGAGGAATTGGAAACTACTTGGGTGGGAAACTTTGCCTAATTTTGCTCAGAGGTCTCCTAGAGACATGAGGATCTTTTATGTGCCGTAAATCTACGACACCGGACACACGGCTTAAAGTCCCTCCTGGAGGACTTGTTCCCTGAATTTTTCCGCCCTTAAAAATTCCACGGCTTCCGCCGTGTTTGAACCCGCATACCTTGAGTCATGAGGTGGGAACATTACCCCTAGACTTAGCCCAGTGTAGGTAACTATCTACCATGCTATATGGCATCAAGTCCCAGAATATGGTATCTTCATAATTACTGCTTTGTGAACCTCAGCTTCTTATTCTCTGCTTGCATCTGTCTTATACTGTACTTATATTGTGACAGAACTGAATAGCTTGCTATGTGAAACATGACAACAGTGTATAATCACTGCATGATTAAAGAGCTTGAGAGCAGTTTGTGATTTTCATATAATTGTTCCATATAGTTAGTGCAGCAGACAGACTGTGAAGTTCAGTGACTCATTGTTACAGACAGTTCATTATAACAGGTATGTTTTTCCTGCCTCCAAATACCTCCATTATTTCAGTCTTCCTCTGAACTAGTTAAATGACTATTGTTCAGAGTTGACAGCTTCTCAAGAAATTCCATTATCATAGAATCTGAAAATATATCACTGACATTAGAAAAGCTCCTTTGTCTACTTCTAGCCATTTCTTGTAGTCACAACTTATTTTACTAAGGTGCATTTTCTTAATACCCTAACTTTTTCTTGATTGGCTTTGGGCTTTATGACTGGGCTTCAGTGCCATTGGAAAGGTTTTTCTTCTGAGCCTTGTATAGATCAGTTCTGAGGCTCGCCCAGCCTCCTGTCAAATCAGTTCTTTAGATGAAGTGATCCAAATAAAGCATGTGTGGTGGCTCCTGTACACCTTCATGACTTGGTTTGGTGTTTCGTTTTATGACCAATCTGCTAAAGCAGCAAGGAGTTATGAACCAGGACTATAAATAATCCTAGGTTTTAAGTGAAGCCTTGTAAGGGGATGTGCAAGATATATTCATGCATTGTCTAGGTCAGAATACTATAAAAAGTTATGACATATTTTTTGTAAAAATTTGCATATACATAGAATAAATGAAGTTTGTTTAAAATAAAAAGTTTTTGAACCCTGTCATTCTTATAATGCACCGTTTGTAATTTTGTTTTTTTGTTCATAATGCAACAACATCAATTTAAATTTTTAAATGATGTTAAATCATATTTAATTCAATAAAATATCATTGAATGTTATAAGTAGAAATTAATTCATTGTTGTAAAGGTGTTTATGAAGTCTGGCTGTGAGGCTGAGAAATACATGAACTGAAGAAGATTCGGGAACTCTGTACTAAGGTAAAACTAAAGTTGTCCCTATGCACAGTTATTAAGCACCACACTATGAAGACTGATTAGGGAGTGGACATATAGCTGTACCATTCTTGACCTCATCACTAGATTGAGGTGAGTGGTCAGCTTCATGCCCTGGCCACTTTAACATCAGGGAAAGAGTCCCCAGTCCCCATTGGATTGGAGTGGAGACTGGATGGGCCCCAGAGCTGGTCTGAGCTCTGTGGAGTAGAGAAAATTCCCTTGTCCCTGCTGGGAATAGAACCCCAGCAATCCAGCCCGTTGTCTGTCACTATACCGACTGAGCTATCCTGGCTCAACTCTGTACTGATTGTTTTGTTATTGTTTTTGTAAACTGTTCAAGAAATTATCTGTTACTGTAAACATGAACTTTGTCAACTTCCAAGAATCCTGCTGTTGGATAGGGTGCTTGGCCAGTTTGTTTAATGTCATATGACGAAAAACAGCTTATCCAAGATCAGTTTTTAATATTATCTTCCCATGTATTGAGAACTTACTTTTATTAATAAACTGATCAAGCAAATCACTCTTGTTATGGAACTTACGTGTTATGTTCATTGTTATAAAAGTCCATCATGGAATCCTGTAAACTTTTTAAGGTTACAAGGTCCATTTTAATATTATCTTCTGTATTTACTGTAGAACTTGCTGGCGCAAAGCAACATGGTTCTGTAAAGGTAAAGGTAAATTTGACTTCCTTAATTAGTCACCATGCCATGAAGATGTATGGGGGAGTAGGGGTATAGTACCACACATTCCAAACTCTACACTATACACTGGGTGGGAGTAGTCAGCTTTGCCTCCAGGAAAGACCTCCTGATACACATTAGATAGGCCGAAGGGGACCCAGGATAGATCTGGATGCTGTATAAAAGAGATGTGTCTTCCAGCCCATGACCTAGCTTCAGTACCGATTGAATTATCCTGGCTTATCATCAGAATTTTGCAGCTTTATAACTTGTGACATTTGTATTTTAGGTGACTTGGGGTACAAACCATATGTGACATCTGAACCTGATGTGACTGCAGTTCCCCTAAATGGTACTGAAGACTTCCTTGTGCTTGCTTGTGATGGGCTGTGGGACTTCGTCTCGGAGCAGGAAGCAGTAAGGGCTGTGTACCAGCAGATCGCCGAAGCACCAGGTAGGAATGTGTCTTATGCCAAAGTGACCAGGAGAACTGAGCCATTTAGAAGACTACTGAACACTAAAATTTCAAGGACAAATGCTCCAAACAAGATGGCTCAAGCAGTAGTGCCTTTGATTTGAATCTTGGCTGGGGCCATGGCTATCATTACTAATATTTCTTGTAGTTTTTCTCAGTCCTTCCAAACAGTTACCAGGATAGTACCTCAAATTAGGCCGTGGATATTTCCTATAATTTTTTTTTCAGCTCACTGTTCATGAATCATCTTACCATTCAGTATTTTATCTTCTGAATTACTAACAATGTCGCTAAATAAACCACAAATAAAGAATGAATAAATTAATTTAAAGATGACTGAAAACTCTACTCTTGTCTTCTGAAGTAGTACACCTTATGAAGGTGACAGACAGAGCTTTGTTGATTGACAGATTATTATGTTATTTTGCACCATCTTTCATCAGTTACTGCTTGAAAACGTAGGCAACCCTGTTATCTCTGATTCTGTTGTTAGTGTCATACTCCTATATGGGCAGGATGCCTAAGTGCAACTGAGAGAGTATATGTCTTCAGACTTGCAAACCACAATATGTTATCCGAGATAAATAGACAACAGGCTTGAGAAATTACTGCTTTACCAGAGAAGGAAACAGAATAAAATATATTTAACAGTATAAATAATGAAACACGTGTGAGCTGACGTACTTGAAGAGCTTGCTGGCAAGCAGAACATTAATAAGAAAAATCTTGGCTAGTTGATACAGGTCAGAATACTGTCACTCAGAATGGCCAACTACTGGAGGTAGCTATGACTTAGCAGTATGTCAGATGTATGGATGCTTGACTGATATGATTAGTTCACAGAATGAGTGACTCAACAAGTAACATTAAACTGAAGTGAAAAACAGAGATGAGTCTCTCTTATAGGCACTAGATACTATAGTTGCAATTATGACCCTTGCCTGCATCAAGGTTACAACAGTTCCAAAATATCAGTATACTTGTATATCAGTTCAGACAAGAACTGCTTGACTCACGTTACAGCTTGAGTTACATATGTGTATCACTATATTATCTGATGTATCCTGAGGTGAAATAAACAGCGATCTAAAAGTAGGCCCTTATTACCATAAATCGGTATGTAACATAAAGTACAGAACTCATTAAGATCCATACAGATTTTTTAAATATATTTCAGTAGTGTTAATAGTTAACAATGTAAAAACTCTTCCAGGCCCCTGCACAGTATAATATATTTACTGTTGATTACCTTTACCAGCAAGGTTTTATATCTCTAATAAGTATCAACAAGAGGAGAGTTGCAGAATTTCAAAGAACACACCTTAAAAATTTGTGTACTTTGTACTTCAGTTTTGAGCACGTAATGGAAATCATGTTCTGTCAACATGCATACGAGGTGCTATCGGAAAGTTCCCGGACTGTAACTGCCTCAGTGAAGGAGGATGAGAGAGGAGGCCAAGGCCACACTTCCACAAGCCTATTGCATCAGTCTGCCACGTGATACCAAGCTGTGAACACGCATTGTTTTTACATGAGTGCTTTTCTGATTTCTTGTTTCGTTTTCTCTGCAATGGATGGCAAAATCGAGCAATATGTCTACATTAAGTTGCTGGAAGCTCGGTAAATCCGCTACTGAAACCCTTGAAATACCTCATGAGGCTTTTGAAGAACATTCTTTAAGCTGGACAGCTAAAGGAGCCTCTAGGGATTCAAGCACAAGTCATCCAGCCCGTGAGATTCAGGTTTGATTCCTGGCAGTGGCAAGAGATGGATGGTAAGAAATCAAAACATTCAAAGGTGAGGTTATGTGTAGTGACAGGACGCTCATACCATGGCATGCCTTATAACAAAGAAACATATACTGTCTAGGTTACATTCACTGCCAGTGAGAGAGAAGGCAAGCCATCTGTTTGGACAAGAAGTCTAATATTAGAGCATTCCAATCCATGGGTTGTTTATTTGCCTGGCTCAGACACTTTGCATCGCCTGCTTTAAAACAGATTTTCTTAGCTACTGTCTGCTAGAATCTTTGTTTCTCAGAATTGCTTGAAACTTATATAAGGATTTAGGTCATCAACTTTCAGTATGAACCAATTGCTTCACTTTTAAACTCTATACCATGTGATAGAATATTGCAGTGTGTGGGTTAGCACTCCTGCTATGCATTTGGAAAGTTCTTGTTTTGAATCTTCGTTCAGAGATCGGCTACACTGAGATTTTATATAGTTTTATTCAATCCTTCTAAGCAAATTCCAGAATATTGCCCATAAATTGGCTATGATTACTTATTCTAAATCCTTACCCAGTCAACAAGTAACTTGGTCAAGTGTGCTGTTGTATATGTAGAAGGTATCTATTTTGAATCTCAGTCTCATTATTCTGCATGAGATTTTCTAAGTTTTCTTCAGTCTGTCTAGCCAAGTACTACAATAATACCATAAAATAGGTCATAACTACTTCATTCCAAATTGTCACCTACTTGCCAGTGACCCCCTCGAAGATTTCTTTAAGTGAAGTCCTTCTGCTCATGTAGCTACATTTAAATGGCAGCAAATCCCTGTTGTTGCAGCATTATCTTCTTTACATGTTCTCTGTGATGTATACTGATACATAAAATATATTTATTGATCAGAGATGACCACAGAAGAGCCACATGCTGCCATCTGTTGATGACAAGTTGAAATACTAGCACAATCTAAGCATGAATGGAGATGGTGGTGCAGCTGTTTTGAGAGAACAACCAGTAATGTCTTAGAGATGATATTAGCCAACAGTGGGTTCATGATCATTTTCAACTTTCTGATACTGTATGACCTTGCCAGTTTAAACAGCATTGTTGTATAACCTCAGAATCATTTTGTCAACTCACCATTCATGATTAAACTTCTTCTCATTTCATTTGAAACTGTACGTGTATAACCTTTGCAGTTCAATCACCATTATTAAATAAATTAAGACATCAGTGAAGTCCCCTGGCAGAATATTGCTCCATTTTATTTTGGAGGTTGCATGTTCAGAATAGCCCAGAGACTGGCTATCCAAACTTTGGTTTTTGTGGTTTAACTCAGGCTCTTAAGCCTTAAACAAGGCATGAAAACTCCCTTTCACTTTCTTTACATTTCGTACATAATTCATCATTATCCTGCCATTCAACTTGATGGTTGAAATTCAGTTCAAGAAACTTCCACCAGTTGTTATCAGGCAGTTCTAATTTACAGCTCTATTGATCCATAAAGAAGCCTCGTACATGGCTCACTGATGGAGCTGAGCCCTTCTTAAGAAGTCGCCAATTCTGCAGCTACTCAAGAATTTCCCTGCATTTTATGGAACCTGAAGGTTCATTACTGTGTTCACAAGAGCCCTCCACTGGTCCCTATCCTAAGCCAGATCATTCCAATCCATCCCATCCTATCTCTCATAATATTCATTTTAATATTGTCCAACCTATGCCGTGGTCTTCCCAGTGGTCTCTTTCCTTCTGGCTTTCCCACCAATATCCTATATTCATTCTTCTTTTCCCCCATTTGTGCTACATACCCTGCCCACCTCATCCTCCTTGACTTGATCACCCTAATTATGCTTGGAGAAGAGTACAATTTATGAAGCTCCTCATTATGAAGTTTTCTCCAACCTCCTGTCACAGTGTATAGGGTTACCTGAGGAAATTACAGATCCCTTTTCGGAAAGTCTGTGAATGCTAGCAGTGTACATACATCTTATAGGTACAATTTGTTTTCAGTACAGCAAGAATTCAGAATGTTTTGGAATGTGTTTCTGCTGTTTTATTCTGATGGTAAGAAAAAGAGACAGTGCATTACAGATCGAACAGGGGAGATTCAGTTGTGACAAGAAGGGAGGGACTACTCTCTTGTGTCTAGGGTGCAATAATTGGCTCTTGTCTCCTCCCTATGCCCTCCATAGCCATCCCATTTATAGCACTCAGAACTGTACTGCTCTTGCTGCAGTTCGTAATGTGATGCCCTGGTGGGTCCTAATAATATGCTGTTACATGCATGATATAGATGGGCCTGTATTTAGATTGTAAGAATAAGTCTTCAACTCTCCACTCCTCACCCTTTCATCCCATCCCTCATGAGTTATGTCAGACAACATTTATAGTTCCCACCCAGTATTAGAAACATTTAATAATGGAAGGACAGATTTATATAATAGCACATAATTTTTATTGTTTTTCAAAACACCCTCTTGAATGAATAGTTCATTTGGTATAGGAACAGGCTATGAGCTGGACAGCCGGGGTTCAATTCCCAACAGAAGCGAGGGATTTTTCTCTACTCCACAGTGTCCAGACTGGCTCTTGGACCTGCCAGCGTCCTATCCATTGGGCAGCGGGAGTTGCTTCCTCAGGGTAAAGTGGTTGGGGTATAAACCTTACCACTCATCTCCATTTGATGCTGAGCTGAAGAGTGGTGGAGCTATACCTCTGCTTCCCCATACTTTTTCATGGCATTCTGCTCAACTAATTACACACAGGGACAACTTTAATGTTTGTATTATCCACAAGAATGAAATTCACTGTGTATTATCAGTGTAGAATAGTACAAAGTATATATTTTTTAAACATTCTGTGGCATGTTATAGCACACATTTTGTTACGTATATTTTTTAAACATCCAGGAAATTGGAAGTTGGAGGAGAGGGCATGCTCCTCAGGTTCAGAAGATCAGATAATAGTGTAGAAAGTTATAATCCACTTATGAAGGAAAGTGAGTTGCTTTGAACTCCAGATTCAGTGACTGTTTTTGGAATTATATTATTGTACTGATGCTGTATCAGCTTCTGACATGAGAAGTGATGAACTTTTGACATGAGTTGTGGTAAGATAGCAGGTCCAGTAATTCCAGAAGAGACTGAGTAAAGTCAGTCCCCAGCCAAGATTAAGAAATGTACATATTGTTGTCTTCAGGATTATGACACATTGTTGCATTCTGGTGAATACGAAAGTTTCAGAAGAACAT